CTCGAGGGCAGTGCGTAGAGAACTTCCTGGAATGGGTTCCCGTGGTCGAGCAGCTGGATCCAAGCCTTAGGTCACCAAGTGCAATGCAAAGCGTTAGATGCAGTGTAGTAAAGCACGCCGCCACTGGACTCTAGAGCAGAGGAGACGTGTTCTCTGGAGTGACGAATCACGCTTCTCTGTCTGGCAGTCTGATGGACAAGTCTGGCGGTTGCCAGGAGAACGGTATTTGCCTGACTGCACTGTGCCAAGTGTAAAGTTTGGTGGAGGGGGGATTATGTTGTGGGGTTGTTTTTCAGGGGTTGGGCTTGGCGCCTTAGTTCCAGTTGATCAAGGCCAGAGATAATGCTTTCCTATGTAACTTCCTTCAATGGCCAGTAGAGGGACACATTGCTGCAGTGAATGTTGCACTGAGATCAGGAGGAACGTTTTTTTGTTTCCCTGTGTGCTGTAGGCCTGCATTGCTGAGACATAAAGCTTTACTGAACTCTACATAAGAACTGCAACAGTATTTAAGCAAAAACTATTAATACTAATGTCAGGATTTTTTGCAATTTGTACACTGTTCAGATAGTTGCAGAGATGATTTATTATTAAATTATATAATTAAAAATTATTCTGCAAAGAGGATGATTTTCTGCACTGAGACTAAATAGTTGTTCCTGTAGTATAAAATGGAGATCAGAAAATGAGTGATTACTCATGCAGAATAAATAATTGTTCATGTAGTATAATGTACAAAGTACTGATGTAGCCAGTGAGTAGCTGACATTTCCGCTTCCTGTCCCCTGATCAGAAAGGGGGTCAGTCCCACCCCCTCACAGCTGCCCCAGCTGTTTTAAGACCTGAAACTAAACTCTCAACCGTTGGAGCGAAACTCATATTTGCATGAACTGAGCAGGATGGTTCTGCTGCCCCCAGAATAGAGCAGGCAAATATCCCCCAGTCCCCCTGGGGTTAGAGTGAGGTGGGGGCTCAGCCCGTGTCACAGAGCAGCAGATTGTCTCACACGATCATTGACTGTCTTTACTGTTTAAAAATTTATTATAATTTGGATACATTGTGGCAACATATTTATTGAGTGTGTATGCTCTACATTGGAGATAATTATGGGATGTTAATTGAGTTTAATTAGAATTGTTTTCTGTTGTATGAAGAATGAGCCCATTATGTGGTTTGCAATATCAACTGCTCAGTATGAACCTTTTCAAACTTTTAGTTTAAGTCCCTCAATGCATCTACTTTACTTTCTGCAAAATAGTGACGATAAACAGCGAAGATTTTGTACTTCTGACAGAAGACATATTCAGAGAAAAAAAATCTAAACTGAAAGGTTCAGGATCACGTTCTGTGTCATGATGGTATCACTGTGTGCATGTTAAAATAACCAGTTTTGATGTCAGTTTCTGTATCAGACAGGATGAAATCTTTATTTATCTATGCGACATTCATGAATAAAACACACAAGATAAAACAAGGAGACCCCAAAACTAATAATGCATCAGAAAAGACATTCACTCATGGATCAAGCAAAGCACAATATATATTCAGTTAGTAA